GAGTCTTGAGGGGTGTGGAAGTTGAACTTCATTTTCTTTGTGTTAAGTCCACCTCTACTTGAGAAATATTCTAGCTTTTACAAGACCAAGATGGAAACCTACCACATTTGGTGATCTGGTGTTCCTCCAGGGATCACCATGATATTTTTAAAGCAGAGATAATGTTGCCTTTATTGATCACTTTCCTCCAACACCAATCATTCATCTACCTTAATGATTTTCTAACCTCTCTTCTACCTAACTCATACAGATATGATCGTACTTTGTACCTCTGTCACTTTTTCAAGCCTACATCTCCAATAAATACTTTACATTGTCTTGGGTTACTGTAGCATTAATTTAGTGTTGCAGGCTGAAATATGCCCCTTTCAAATTCCTATAGTGGAGCCCTAAAACCCAGTACTTCAGAATGTGACTGTATTTAGAGATAAAGCCTTTAAAGAGGTAAGTAAATTAAAATGAGACCACTAGGGTCAGCCCTAATTCAATCAGCTGGTGTCCTTATAAGAAAATAAAATTTGGATACACAGAAGAGATGCATGTATACCAAAGGGCCATATGAAGAGGCAGCAAGAAGGCATCTGTCTGCAAGCCAAGAACAGAGAAAACCAACCTGGTTAGCACCTTGATCTTAGACTTCTAGTCTCCAGCACTGTGGGCGAATACATTTCTGTTGTTTAAGCCACTAGGCCTGTGGCATTTTATGGTGGCAGCCCTAGCAAACTAATACAGTTAGCTAGAATTTATTAAGTAAACTGTCATTAACTAATATCTTCTTCACATCAATATGCTTAAGAACAGCACAGAAACTAAGTGCCCATCATATATACTAGTTGAAAGAAAGAACAAATATTTGCATGCATGCATGTGTGAAAATAGAGTAGATTTTAACAATAACTTGTGAATAAAATTCATCTTCCTTTTTTTCTTCCTTTGGTCAGTGTTGACTACCGGGAGAAATTGTAGTGATGAAATAAAAGTAATGTTTCAACATGTCTTACTGATGATAAAATATACATTCATTGAGTTCTTCTACTGTGAAAATTTAAAGAAATAAGAAGTACCCAAAGTTACCTAAATGTATCAGGGCATGGAGCTCATGGAAAACATACTTTTCACGCTGAAAGTAGTATCTACAAGCTGAAAAAAATACTTTTTATATGATGTTGTACAGTGGGCTGGCTGTTTACCACAGGCCTCATATGTTGCTATCTGAAAAATGGGAAGTATCCTTGGGTATTATAACCTATATGGTGATATCTTTCTGAAGAAACCCTAGGAAAGCTAGTTCCTTCAGCCCACACAGATTATATGACTAACCTTTCAGAAAGCCAACTTCTCAATTTATAATCAGTTACCAATTATTATCTTGTGAGTGTAAGAATTCATGAAAACTAATTATGGCCTATGTAGCTGTTTGACGAAAGCATATTAAGAGCAAAGGGAAAGGGTTGCTCCTAAAGAGTCTCATCTAGCTAGAAATGCTTTTTGATGAATTGGTCTTCTATTTTCTAGGGATATTACATTTGGATTGGAAAGACTGTTCATTCATCCATTGTACTGTTCACTTCCTTTTTAAGCATTGTTTATTGAGCCACTATAATGTGTCAAATGTGCTAGGCATTAGAAACACAATGATGAATACTGCAGACATTGTCCTTGCCTGCATGGAACATATATTTTAATTATCATAGTTTCGCTAGTGGACTGCATTTACTATTTCCATGAATTAACATTTTTCTTTCCTTTGGTTCAGTAGTGCTGCTCCTTACTTTCTGTGGTGATTCTTTCTATAAATGCTTACCAAAATATTGCATGCATCTAATAAAACCTTTTATGGAAGAATGTATAAAAGTTTTTCATAACAGTTTAAAGCATTCTGAATTGAAGGCTCTTTTACACTGTCAAAACTTAGGCATCATAACACAAATCAAAGTGACAGAAAAATCTGAAAAGTATCTGCAAAAAATCCACATTTATTTTATAAGGGTCAGTGTACAATCAAATATTGGGGTCTATGCATTCTTCTACCATGCTAGAGTGAATCTTTAATTCTCTAAATGCAGGGAAAATATTCTCATTTCTCTGGACCAATATTTGATCTTATACTTTCTCCTCCTATTCACACCAAATGAAGTGAAATTTGGAGTTGCCTGAATTCTATGCACTCATGCCAAAGACGTCTATTCTTCTCATGACTTCCTTGCCTACCTAGAAACTTACTAAGATCAAATTGTCTAACTGATGAGCACAGTCATAGTTCTTGAGGTTCACACACATATAAAGTAATTTGGTTTGTATTAGAAGAAAGGAAGAAAATGTCCAATTTCAAGCAACCTTGTATTTTCTGGGTTGATTCTATAGATTTTTATACAAGGAGTGAGCTTGTGAAAGAGCTGCCTGAGGTGGAAACATATGAAGGCAAAGATCTACAGAAGTGGCTCTTTATCTAACCATATCACCTCTCAGAAGCCATGACCTCTGTGAATTTGATAAAAGGAGCTGAATGGCACAATAGCCTGGAGGGTACAAAAACTAGACATCTGAAGAGACTTTCTTGTTTCAAGGATATACCTAATAGACTTTAAAAATATTCCTTTAGTGGAGAATTTAAAGGAAATTCCTTCCTATTATGAGGTTCACGGTTCCTTAGGAAGGTCTTCCCTTTGTCATTTTGGGTGACTTCAAATGTAATATTGTGACATTATCTCTTAAAGAGAGGCTCTTCCTTTGGCTTGCGAAGAAATTAGATATTTTAAAAAGACCAGTTCTCTGCTTTTAAACACTACCTACTTGTACTTTCCTATTGGAGGCTGAACTAACATTTAAACATGTTATCATGATGCACATAAATACTGTTGGCAAAGCTTTTATGGCTACCGATGACACTATAAAAATACGCCTTCATTTTAAGAACTCTAGAGGATTTGTACATCTGCATAAGCTCCAGAGTTCCCCGCTTTGTGGGGGAAGATCTGATGGGGAAGATGAGATCATTATCTACTTCTATCCTTGTTTAAATTCGTAGGAAGCCTGATTGGAAAGTAGTTTTCCTCACTATAGTTCTGCAGTACTCAGTTTTATTACCCCCACAAATCTATTATACACATATTTGTCCATATAAAAGAATTTTTAGAGCCATCATTTTTAATCATATATGTTTGGTGTAATATACCTTTCTCATATATTTATATGGATAAACATTTTCTTTTGGTTCCAAGTCTTTCCATTCTAGTTAAATATAGATTGAAAACATGCATAAATAGAATCATTTCAAAGGTCTTTGGTCTCTCAATTTTTAAAGTTTTACTTCCCCATAAGGCTGGAGAGTCCTGGTCCAGGCTGGACCCAGGTAGGTTTCCACATTTCACGCAGGCCTCTTGCTTGCTGTGTAGTGTGACTATAACCAAGCCCCTGGCCTTCTTGAGACTTTAGTCTTCTTGCCTATAAAGTGAGAGCTCTTTAAGCTCTTCCAGTTGTACAAGTCCATGACTTTCTTTGAGACATTTCCAAGATATACAGCTGCACACTGTACGTGATTTTATTTCTCCTGCAGAACAATTAAGCCCCTGCTGATAGTGACTTTGCCATATTCCTTCCTGAGGATTCTTAGAGGTTTTATAGAGTATAGCAGAAGTTTCAGATGTTCATTACATCTATGATGAAAGAACTCAGATTCAGGGGAACATAGTCTTTGGCTCACTGTCATTTATGGATATAGTTTGATGAATGTAAAAGAATGAGCTCCCACTCAGGTATGGTTTTATGAGAAACTTCTTATGGTGGGATAGAAATTCATTCAACGTTTGGTCAGACTTAACCTTTTGAAAATGGGATAGGGAGCAGGACTGTTTGGTTTTAATATATCTATTTCTACCTGTATTTATAAACAAAATTCCACATGAGAACATTTGAATACTGCATATTAGGTGATTATTTTCCTCTGTTTATGCATTCAGCACTAATTTTAGGTACTTGGACTACATCAATTAAAAAAAGATCACTTCCTTGGGTCTTATGTTTTTTGAGGGAGAAGGGGATGCTGATACTTGACAATAGATGTAACATAGATATAAAATTATATATCTATATAATATAGTGTGGTAAATAAAATGTGAAAAAGGTAGAAGAGGGTTAAGGGGATTGTGATGTTAAAGGAGACTTTTATGATTTTAAATAGGATTTTCAAATAGGTTGCGTTGGAAAGGTGATATTTGAGCTTGAAGTAAGTAAGTTAGTGTGCTGTGTGGATATTTAGAGAAAAAGTGTTCTAAGCAGAGGGAACAGCAAATGTAAAGGTTCCCAAGTGGTACAGTGCCTGGAGTGTGTTCAAGATATATCAAGGTACTAGGGTGATGGCCATGGAAGGAACACAGAAGAGACGAGGGCAGATCACTTAGGGCTTTATGCTGAATGTTTCTCATTTGCTTCCCCAGACCCAGATTCATTCATTTCTCTTTGCCATCCATAAAAGCTTCATACTGTTGTTAGCATCAGAGTAGCACACCATGGATACATGATTTTTAAAAATGCTCACCCTCACCTTTGTAAACGTTCTGTTATGGTTTGAATGTTTGTGTCCCCCTAAAGTGCACAGGTTGAAACATAGTCCTCAACGCAAAAATATGAAGAGGTGGAGGCTTTGGGAGCCTATAAGTTCATAAGGGTGAAACTATCGTAAATGGAATTAGTTTGTCTTTATAGAAGACATCTCAGAAAACTCGTTTTTCCCTTTGTCATGTGAAGATGCTGCAAGAGGACAACATCTATGAAGCAGAGGAGAGTGAGCCCTCACCAGACACTGAATCTGCTGGCTCCTTGATCTTAGACTTTCCAGCCCCAGTCTCCAAAGCTGAAGAAATGAGTTTATGTTGTTTACAAGCTATCCTGTCTATGTTAATTTGTTACAGTAGCATGAATGGACTAAAGCTTAAATTTTCCTTGATTACCAGTTTAATTATGTCACCTATTTCTTTTTTCAATGGCCCTAAATGATAAAGGCATTGAAGACCATTGTAAGGATGTTGGAATTTATTCTGAGTGAGATGGAGAGAGATACAGCAAAGTGGCTTCTAGTCCAAAAGTATCACCCTGGCCTCTCTGGTGAAAGTGATTTACCATAATCCAGGTAAGAGACATGTCATCTGGCTATATAGGCCAATTGTTCTGAATTGATATCAATCCTAAATGTATCTCACACCTTTTTTTTCTTTTGTTTTTGAGATATTCTTGCTCTGCTGCTCAGGCTGTAGTGCAGTGACACCATCCCAGCTAACTGCAACCTCTGCTTCCTGGGTTCAAGCAATTCTCTTACCTCAGCCTCCCAAGTCAGAATTACAGGTATGTCACCATGCCTGGCTAATATTTTATATTTTTAGTAGAGATGGAGTTTTACTGTGTTGGCCAGGTTGTTCTCAAATTCCTGACTTCAGGTAATCCACCTGCGTTGGCCTCCCAAAGTGCTGGGATTACAGGTGTAAGCCACTGCGCCTGGTCAGAAAACAAACTTTTATCATGGCCTAAAGTTCAAGATGGCTCTTCAGAAGTAGTTTCCCCATGCCAGTTTTGGTTCTTTTGAAGTGAATGCCATGTATTGCTATAAAGATAGCTAGTGATTATAAATAGAATTTTAAAAATGGAATTAAGTGCCTATGCTTTATAAAATGTCGTTCCATTTTTTCTTCATAGGTCTTTTGCTCTCTTTGTGAATAAAATGTATTTTAAACATATGTTTCATTTTTCCAACGGAAAGTTTTGAATGCCATATGCTTTTTTTTTTCTAGGCAAACTGTTTCAAAGTTAAGAAGAATGAGATGGTAGGTGAGGGAGGAGCAGATATTAATCAAATATTACATAAATGCGTATCAAATTTTAAACTGAAAAGAGCCATACTGGAAAGGTACAGGAGCGTTGAAAGGCTCTAATAAGAAGATCTAGCCTAGTCTCAGGGAATTCTGTGAAGACTTATCTTAGAAAGCAATGTGAGTTTTACCATAGATAGAACTATGTTCTACCTGGAATAGCAACAGGCACTTTCACCAAGAATAGGAGTTCCTCACACTTGCTATAACCAGAATTCTTTTAGGAATTCTTCCACTTCATTTATTTGAAACAAATAGAGGATACTTACTAGTTTGATTAAAACAAGTGAGGTAGATTCTTGTCTACTTTCTCATGACTGGGTTGTATCCCTGAAGTTTGACTTATGTTGGGGCCACTCTTATAGAGCCTGTGTATAGTTACGTGTGTGACTTATTTTCCCCAAGTAAACCATGTTGAGTTTCAAGAGAAAGGGATGGAATTTCCACATGTTGAGTATGAGCTCTGTGTTAGGCACTGTTCCAGGAATTCAAGTGCATTTGCTCCTCATCTTTTCCTCACAGCCCACATCTAATCTAGTCTGTCAGCACTAGTATGAAAAATATATCCCCAATCTGACAACCTCTGCATTTCCTCTTTCGTTTAACCCACCATCATCTTAAATTTAGGCTTGTATAATAGACATCTAATTGGTCTTCCTGTTTCTACTCATGTGCCCCTATAATCGGTTCTCCATATGGCAACCAGAGTGAAGTTAAAAAGTTAATCAGAACATGTCATTCCTCCTATTCAAAGTTCTCGAGTGGTTTCCCTTTGACTTGACAAGAAAATGGAACTCCCTACATAGCCAACAAGGTCCTGGATGATCTATCCTTTGATTTTTCACCTGTCTTGTATTGCTTTCAACCTCTCACTGTAATCTGGCCTCTTACCATTCTTGGTAAACTCTAAACAAGTTCCTGTCTTGGAGCTGTGGTATTTGCTGTTGCTTCTGCCTGTCTATACACGCTCTTCACATAGATTATCATGTAACTCGTTTCTTCTCCTTATTCAGGTTTTTCCTCAGATTCTCAGAGGAGCTTTCAGTTCAAAATGCTGAGTGCTACTTTCAATCCTTCATCCATGCTTTCTAATCCTTTACTTTATGTTTCTTTAAAGCTCTTACTACCTTCAATGCAATGTGTATTTCTTTGCACATTTTTCTAGGCTATAAATTCCATGCGGACACAGACATTTTGTTTTAGACCAATTCATATTCTCAGAACCAAGCATGTTCTGGTCTGTAACACTGCACTATAAATATTTCTGGAATAACTGACGATGTATCTCCTTCAAACTCTTTGTTTTTGATGATCTTCAAAGGCAAGCACCAGACATTTAGGACCACCCCAGTAGAGTTGTATCCTGTCTTGTATGTCATCAATACAGTAGACAATTAGCAAGTATTTTTGGAATAATAAATAAATATGGTAATGAACATTAAACTTTGTAAATTGCCAGTGAGATGCAATACACTACCATAAGCAAGTGACTGGTTTTGTTGTTAGACTGGGCTGTTTGACTTTTATATCTGCAACTTATTATGTCAGATTGAGTAAATCACTTATGTCTCTGAACCGGGTCTCCTTACCTAAAAAATTAGGCTAATAATAGAACTAGCCTCATGGGGAGAATTGTTTTGAGGATTAAATAAAATGAGAAATGCATGCAGCATTGAATCTGCATGTGTTGTTAATAAAATAATCCTCCAATCTGGGTTAAGTGTCCTCCTCTGCTTGCTAGTAGCCCCTGAGCTTTCCTTTGGCAGAGCAATTATCCTAGTCAATATTTTTCTCTTGATGTGTCTACTCCCCTCCAAGTTTTAAAATGTGGAGGGTAAGAACTTAACTTTATTAATCTTTAAATTGCCAGAACCAGTACATGGAAGGTCCTCAATACATCTGTTTTGAATTGAATAGGACTGAATTAGAGGTAATAGCCTTTATTTCAGAATCAAGACACTGTGATATTGATCAATGTCAATTTCAGTGAATCCTTAATAAGTATTGATGAGAGACAAGCATCTATCTACAGGTATGTTTGCCAAGTTATTAACAAAACATATTCTAGATAAGCTGTAAATGTAGGGTCTCAAATGTGGTAGTGGAGAAGACTGAATGAGGAGGAAGAGAGCAGCATCTATTGGAGGAGAAGTCCACTTGGTGTAGACCTTGTCTCTTTCCCTGCCACTCCTGGCTTTTGCCAGAGCCAACTTCCTAAAAGCTCTGGTTGGATCTCTTTTATCAGCTACTAGGTAGAGCTGGTTGTGTCAGTTGGAGTAGTGAAAATTTCTATTCAACTTATAAATAGTTGAAGAGTCTGTCTTGGTGAAATGTGAAATGAGCAAATATTCCATTTTCTCCCAGGAAGGTGGACTATGATTCAGTGTATGATGCTGTATGTCAGCCATGTCCAGGCATCTGTTCATAAGGCTGCACAGCCATAAGATATTCATGTGAACATACCACACAAAGTCTTAGCCTTACCAAATAATGAGCATTCTTCTCCTGAAGCTTCCTCTCCTGCTGGAGCTTCAGTCTGCAAGGTCACTCTGTCAGAAGCAGAACTGGACATCATTTCCTTTAGAATTGGTGGACTTTGCAAATACGGAAAAAAAGTGATGCACTAAGCATCACTCAATGAAGCCCCAGGAAACTTTATATTCTCTTCTGTCTATCCTGGCTGGATATCAGATGGTGTGTGTGTGTGTGTGTGTGTGTGTGTGTGTGTGTGTGTGTGTATTCCTTCTTAATAGCTTTGCTCATATATTCAGGTTATTATTCCCTGGTGTCTTTAATTAAAAGATCTGAGAGAATAGAAATTTGTTAGAGTGATATTTAGTTCTGTCATACACAATTATTAGTATTAAAGGAAATATTACTTCATAGGATAAATGAAGATTTGTAAGTAGCCATTGTTTCTCCTTTTTAGTCTTTGACTTGGAGGATCTCTGGAATCTTTATAGTAGACAATAGAAAAAATATCTATATGGCCGGGCACGGTGGCTCACGCCTATAATCCCAGCACTTTGGGAGGCCGAGGTGGGTGGATCACGAGGTCAAGAGATTGAGATTACCCTGGTCAACGTGGTGAAACCCTGTCTCTACTAAAAATACAAAAATTAGCTGGGCATGGTAGTGCGTGCCTGTAATCCCAGCTACTCAGGAGGCCGAGGCAGGAGAATTGCTTGAACCCAGGAGGTGGAGGTTGCGGTGAGCCGAGATTGCACCACTGCACTGCAGCCTGGGTAAAAGGAGCAAAACTTCATCTCAAAAAAAAAAAAAAAAAAAAAATATATATATATATATATATATATATATATATATATGTATGTATATGTTTTGGAATCAGGTATAGGTTCAAATACCAGGTCTTCCCTGAGACCATAAGTGGGATACCTTAGCTTCTCTGAGCTGTATAACAGGGAGAGCTAAGCCCTGGAAAGTTCTTACTAAATGATATCGCATGCCCAAGGCATCAGGTACCTGTACTGTGTACAGTAGGTGTTTAGTAAATGTTAATTCCTTTTCTCCTTCAACTTTCTCAGAAATGGGATCCTCTTCTTCTTTGTTGACTCATTTGAATATTGATCATTTAAGTTTTCTGATTGCCCTTCAGGTTATACCCACTGTTCTTAGGACAATGTTCAAACTCCCTCACATGACCTTTTTTAGATTTCTTGTGTCCAGCTGTACTCCTCATCCACTGGCTGCAGATGCAACTGTGGTATTTTGGATAAGAATTCAGACTTGTAACCTTTATTAGTTAGATTCAAATCCCAGCTTTGCCACTGACTGCTGTGTGATCTTGGGTTATTCACTGTCTCTGTGGTGCAGTTTTTCTAACCTGTAAACTGGGGATGGTAATAATTCTTATTTTGGGAACTGTTATAAAAATTGAATAAACATTTTCATGCAGTGAGCTTATAACAACTGTAATGAGCTTGTAACAGGACATGACATATTGTAAACATTAAAAAGAAAAACGTAGTCTCGCAATTAAGTGCGAGAACCAGGTGTGGACTCAGAATGGGGCAGGGTGCCCACAAACAAGAGGCATAAGAAGATTGAAAGCACTTTATTACCCTTCAAAAGCTGACAAAACTGAAGAATTCACGTCTCTATATAAAGTAATATCACTGCAACTTCTCCTCCTCCTCCTCCTCCTATGTAGAGTGGGTGAGTTTAGTGACAGACTGTTTTGGAAGGAGCTAGAAATATCAGTTGGAAAAATGCTTGGCAACCACTTTAGAATGATTATCTGACTTTAGGAGAAAGAGAGAATACTGAGGTATTCCTCTTATCCAAATTTAGAAATGTCATGAAGGCTCAATGAATCATCCCTCAGAGGCTTTAAAAACATTTTTCCCAAACTAGGCGTTGCCTATTGCTGGAAGTTCTGAACCTCAGGATCACCCACCAACCCCCAAAGAAGCTACCCAGTTTGGGCAATTACAGGATCTGCTTCAGGATTTTGTTTCC